AAGAAGTCTACCAAAGGCGCTTTACGAGATCAGGCCAAAGGTAAGGGAACCTTGGTGGCTTCTTCAGCGACAAGATATTGGGACAAGCTTCAGGGGAACTTCATGCTGATCTTTCATCGCTACAGGCAAGGTTCCTAACGAAAAAGGCCTCCGGAAGACACCCCACCAACAAGTCATGTCAAAGTTCGATCGGCGCAACCAGGCCAAGCAGCGCCAGTTAACGAAGCACAAGGAGCATCAGAAAGAAACATCTGTTTTCAATGGACGAGATGGAGCTCCCAGGATCGTTGCCGTCATCCCGCTTTGCGCCGACGTAGACGTCCCTTCCGCTATCAAGAGTCTCAACGACAGCCTCGATATAGAATCAGAAGTTTCCGACGCCTCTTTCCGAGTACCTGTCGAACGTTTCAAGCAGAAGCTACAATATGTTCCGGTGACAAGGGACCTCACTGCGTCTATGGATGCCGCACGCGTTGCCGACTTCGTCATTTCCGTACTATCCTCCGAGGTGGAAGTAGATGGCTTGGGCGAGTTGGTCATCCGCAGTATTGAGAATCAGGGCATATCGACATTGTTTACGGTTGTGCAGAACCTAGACAAAATCCAGCCAGCGAAAGCCAGACCCGATGTTGTGAAATCTCTGGTCTCATTCATGACACACTTTCATCCTGGGCAAGAGAAGATCTACAGTCTTGATTCCAGACAGGAATGTTCCAACCTGATGCGCTCTCTCTGCAGTACGACGCCAAAGGGGATCAACTGGCGAGACCAGAGATCTTGGATGCTAGTGGACGAAGTCCAGTGGCCCTCGACAGAAACGGAATCAACAATATTGACAGGTGTCGTCCGCGGAAAGGGCTTAAAGGCTGATCGACTGGTTCACGTTGGCGACTGGGGAACTTTTCAGATCGAAAAAATCACAGCTGCGCCTCTTCCGACTAAGAAACGGAAGGACGGCATGGCTGTAGATGATACAGAAGCTGAGGAAGTACTCGAAACCCCGGACGACGACCAAGATGACCTGGCTGAATTAGCACCAGAGGAAGCAGTGATGGACGATGTCGACGGAATGGATGACGGATCAGCTGTTGCCACAACGAGTAAAAAGGGTGTATTGCTAGATGATCATCATTATTTCTCCGAAGAAGAACAGGAGGCGTATGAGCCACCGAAGAAGCTGCCTCCTGGAACGTCGAACTACCAGGCACCGTGGTTTCTGGATGATTGGACAGACTCAGAAGCCGAATCTGATGACGAAGAAATGAAAGATACCGGGGACGATAGCGTTCCAGCCGCTCCAGAAGATGGCATGGAAGGCCTTGCTGGCGCTGAGCCTACCGAAGCTGCCATGTCCGAGTACCCTCAATCGGAAATGTTTATAGAGCCTAACGAGGACGAAGATGCGCAGGAATTAGAAGCCTACCGCTCAAGGAAGCGGGACGAGGCGGAGGAGGACATGGAATTCCCAGATGAGATCGAGCTACATCCTAATGTCCTAGCTCGGGAGCGACTCGCAAAGTATAGGGGCCTGAAAAGTTTACGCACAAGTCCTTGGAACGTGGAGGAAGACCGGCCGTACCAGCCAGAGGAATGGCCACGGTTGTTGCAAATTTCCGACTACCAGTCTTCTCGGAATAGGTCAGTGCGGGAAGCTCTGGTAGGCGGGGTGGCACCTGGTACGAGAGTCCACGTACATCTGAAAGGCGTTCCGAAGGAATTTGAGAAGTCTTACAAGCCAACACACCCCGTCACACTCTTCTCCCTTCTTCGTCATGAGAACAAGAAAACCTCGTTGAATTTTGACGTCACTCATAAGGAGGATTATGAGAAATCGATCAAGGCGAAAGAAGAACTCATTGTTCAATGTGGTCCTCGGCGGTTCATTGTCAATCCCCTATTCTCGGTGGGCGGTACTACGGAGAATGACGTTCACAAGTATTGCAGATACCTTCACCCTGGTCAATCTGCCGTCGCATCTTTTATGGGACCCATCACGTGGGGATCCGTACCGACGTTATTCTTCAAGAGGACGCCTCCTCAAGAAGGAGAGGATGAACCGACCTTGCCACTGCAACTTGTCGCGACCGGAACGGCTCGCGCTCCGTCCACCTCAAGGGTGGTGGCTAAGCGTATCATCTTGACTGGTCACCCGTACCACATTCACAAGAAAGTTGTAACCATCAGGTACATGTTCTTCAATAGGGAGGATGTGCAATGGTTCAAGGCGTTGCCGCTTTGGACCAAGAGAGGAAAGAGCGGTTACATCAAGGAGCCTCTCGGAACTCACGGATACTTCAAAGCCAATTTCGATGGGCGTATCAACCCACAGGATGCAGTTGGCGTCAGCTTGTATAAGCGTGTGTGGCCAAGACATGCAAGGCCGTTTTCTGGTCCTCTGCTTGGAGAGGGTGAACTTTCTGCTCAAGGCGGCGAGCATATGGACGAGGATATCTAGATATATAGATGATTTATGATAGTATGGGCGTTCGGCGGCTGACATTGAGTCAGCCAAACAAGCTATCTCACATTTTGATCGGTTACACAACATGTCTCATTGCAGTCAACGTGATATATATATGTGTGTGTGTGCTTTGATAATGCATCTCAACCTGTACCCCTGATCACTCACTCTCCCTGGGTATAACCATGAAAATCAGCCGCGATAAATGCATGCCGCATAGCCATATATATATATATATATGTGTGTGTGTGTGTGTGTGTGTGTGTGTGTTCCTAGACTACCTCACAATAGGCCATCCGCCGGCACATTACCCCTCCTCTTCCCCCTTTCACTCCAGCGTCTCCAGCCCAGCCGTAGCCTTGGGGCCGCCATTCGCCCTGCACACCTCCTCGGCCCCGCTCGCCTTCCAGGCGCTCGTGATCAGATTCACGATATGGTCGACGCCGACGCCCTTCTTGACCTGGGCGAACACGGTGGGGCCGCCCTCGCGCATCTTGCGGGCGTCGCGCTCCATGACGCCCAGGTCGGCGCCGACGGCGCCGGCGAGGTCCGTCTTGTTGACGACGAGCAGGTCGCTCTGGGTGATGCCGGGGCCGCCCTTCCTGGGCACCTTGTCGCCGCCGCTGACGTCGATGACGTAGACGATGAAGTCGGCCAGCTCGCGGCTGTAGTTGGCCGCGAGGTTGTCGCCGCCCGACTCGATCAGCAGCAGGTCCGACGCGAACTCGGCGTGCAGGTCCTCGAGCGCCGCCAGGTTGGCCGAGATGTCCTCGCGCACGGCCGCGTGCGGGCAGCCGCCCGTCTCGATGGCGCGGATCCGCGGTGCCGGGAGCGCCCGGTGCCGCGTCAGGAACTCGGCGTCCTCCCGCGTGAAGATGTCGTTGGTCACGGCCGCGATGCTGTACCGGTTGCGCAGGGCGAGGCACAGGGCCAGCATGAGCGCGGTCTTGCCGGAGCCGACGGGGCTGTTTCATTTCATTTCTCGTCAGCTGTGTTTCTTTCTATTCATTTCTACTCGTTCGGGGATTTAAAGGGGGGAATGGGGGATTCGGTGTTTTCTGGTCATGATGCGGTCTTCGACGCTAGGTTCATCAAGACGTGGGGACGGGAGAACTACGATGCCTATGCCTTGAAGAGGTCCTGCTTATATGGCTGCTTGGAGCTGGACGAAGAAGATGACGGACGTACCCTCCGATCCCGATGGTGAAAGCTCTCTCGTTCCAGTTCCGCCCTTCGACGATGGGCATCTCGCGGCCTAGGTAACTACCAGGCCCATCGAGGATCTCATGAGAGTGCCCGTGCTCAGCAGCGGAGATGCCATCGTGGGAATGGCTTGTCACACCGTCGTGGGAGTGGATACCTGACATCTTGGGATATGTAAGTAAGATCTGAGATGAAGATGGAGAGTCAGCGGGGTGGCGTGAAGAAAGCAATATTTATATCTTGTGTGAACAGGATATCTGATTGAAAATGCTCTCATTGCCACCTTACAGCAACTACTCAAGAATGGCGAGAGAATGAATATAAAAGACCATTCAACATGGCCTATTTTGAGTTTACGGCGGGGTGCTCAGGAGGTGATAGGGGATACGTTGGAGATATGTGTCTCGTACCTGAATTTCTTATGGTTTCCTTAGTGACACTATGATTTCGATAGTCCAAGGATATCAGTAGGTGACGGGGGTGAATAGCAGTATAGAAAAGGGTGATGTCAGTTAAATATCTTATAGCAATGATGGCCCTTTAGAATATAATATCATCTGTCAGCTACGTGATATAACATGAAGCTCTAGAACAAAGTGAGGGGCAAGCAATTGCGGGGATATGCAGTCGAAAAGCTGTCCCCCACTATGTAGTACAGATCAACCCCTGAAATACAGTAATATACGTAAGCCGCAGGAGAAATATATCAGCATAGTTACTTTGTATGATACGAGTGCTTTCCCGTCGAATGAGAGCTTTATATGTCGCTTGTTCGATCTGGGCACATTATTTTAGGGACTGACCTGCACTTTTGGATGTGCCAGAGTGCGATACTTATTGCTGTGCCAGATAGCAGAGCATCGTGACACAAAAGCAGGGAAAAGGGGCATCTTGAACGCGGGACACCGCTTTCCTTCCTTAAGAGGTAAGATTCCCTTACGTGTCTTGAAGGGGCACGAAGCATGTGTATGTAATAGAGGGTGATGGACATATATAGTATTGCGGTGGATTGTGTGACGTTAGATTCATCTGCGTAGAATGACTATGGGTACCTAGGAAGAAAAGCGTTTCGCGCCTCAAAGATAAATTTACGTCCAGGGCTAGCGAGGTTCCATATGACGAATCTAGCAGTCTGATCAATACTCCGATACATAGTCCGATACTGAAATATTCCAAGTCAAATCATCTGATTGCCAAGTTATATCATGATGTTGTGGTAGGACAAAAAGGGATTTTTGCTAGTCATCCAAAGTTTGCTGGCCCCAGCTGTATGGGACGTAAGCCACGTCAAGGATATATGGGCACCAATAGCAGACAAATTTTCAACAATCACATGTCTCTGTTAGTCTAGTGGTTAGGATACCTGCTTGTCAAACAACTCGCAGGTGACCGGGGTTCAATTCCCCGACAGAGAGGCAATTTTCTTTTTTCCTTTAGTTTTGTTCTTGTTTTTGTGTATCTGGGAATCGGTGATTTTTTATTCTTTTTTCCAGTTTTCGCCTCTTGAGGATGCAATTGCAGTTGCAATTTTATCCAAACATGTTCATTTGCTACATTTTTGCGCATTTGTTACTCCTGGACATGCCTCTCCAAGCTAAAAAGCAGCGACTTGCCGGCCCTACTTGTGTTATTAAATGATACAACCTTCTATACCTAGATATGATGAGATCCCATTTTGGTTTCTGACTCCGAAGGGGAAATTGAGAGAATGATGAGGAGAATAACTATATTAGTCCTCCATTCCTTACGGTGTACGGAATTGCACATGGACATCGAGAATGCCAGCAGTCCATTCATGGACAAGGAACTCTGGATGTTCTCACCTCTTGCGCGACGGGTAATCCAAAACAGCTAACATTCGTCTTGTCCGTGTCGCCCCTGGATACGCCGCTTAAGTGAAGCGATTCCGACCCAGAGCCTGATCACTTGGGCGGATGTGCGAGGGCCTCGGGACTAGCTATGGGTGGTCAAAGCGGGTGTGGGAGTACTTGATGCGATCTGTCGGACGTGGTGAGACCCAGTTATGTATGTCCTGACCGACTCAATTCGGCTCTCGAACATGTAAGACTTACTCATCCATATGAAGAAGGGCTGTGTTCAGTTCAGAGCCCGGTCTCGCTTCGATAACACCGTCACTATGGCCCCCTGGATCAAGGGGCCTGGGTCGTCACGGATTCTGTCTCGAGACCGGTCACTCACTGGGTGTTGCTCGCTCTAAGAGTATCTTATCACACTTGAGAAATACCCGTACTCAGCTATATATGTGCGAGACAGTCCTTGGAGCGAGAGCCTACTGCAAGGCGTCAGCGACACAAGCAAAGAGCAGCATGCAAAGACCGACTCCTCCTCTCCTGATCGGGGCCTGTTCTACTTCGCCACTGCTGATTTCCACGGCGACACCATCGCGTTAGATCTGGACGATGAGAACGTAGCCCAGGTCCACGAGTACGACAATGAGTCTTCCCATCAGTACCTGTCCAGGGGTTCAAGAGTGAAATAGGAGGAAGCATATGACAATATCTCTTCTTGCTTGGGCGGCTGTTCCGAGTGAAGGCCAGCGAAAATTGCATAGAGCTCGCATCAGCCAGAAAGATAATCAGTAACGGTATTGTTTCGTCTGGAGGTTATCTACAGAGTCCTAGCGTGAAGAATATAAAACTGTTTCGTTGTTCGCGTACACTCCAGGTACATACGTAGCAGAGCGTTATTGCCCCAAGTCACAGAATGGCCAAAATACCCCTATCCATATCAGCAGAATATACAAGTCAACATACGGTTTTACCCCTGGCTGGATGTATGGTACACTTCACATATCAAAACTTCTTCGATCGTTAAGTTTGCACGGTGCTTTGCTCCGTTCAAATACTGTAGCACGTACAGTGCGCCGGTCATCGATTTTGATTCACCTCCGGTTTGTATGGAGCATCACTCGCATGGGAAATCAAATACGAACCACACCCTGCGATCCATGCAACTTGTTGATAACGCCATTCATACCACGGCCCTACCATGACCGACGCAGAAGATATGAAAATCGACCCGTCCCGAGCCGCGGCCCTCGTGTCCCAGATCGAGGGCGTGAGCAAGCGAATCTCAGCCGTGGCCAACGGTCGAAATGTAAGAAGAAGTCCCCACGAACCAATCAACCAGCCAGCCAGCCCCTATTCATTGACTCCTTACTCTTCACTGAATGAAATGGAAGAGATGCAACATCATCACTCACTCCGCTGAGCTGAGATGAAATGAAAATAAAAGAATTTTCAACTACATAGGTACTGACACTTGAACACACCCGAATGTTCACTAACCCACACGCAACCAAAAACAGGTCCGACTCGTCGCCGTCTCCAAGCTCAAGCCGGCCAATGACATCTTGGCCCTGCACCGGCAGGCCTCGCCGGCGCAGCTGCACTTCGGCGAGAACTACGCCCAGGAGCTGGCCCAGAAGGCCGAGATGTTACCGCGCAGCATACGCTGGCATTTCATTGGTGGTCTGCAGTCAGGTATGTGAAATGAAGATGAAGAAGATGATGGTATTTTTTTTCCGTTTCTTGGTGTCATTGTTTTCTTGTCCTGGATTTGGAGAGGGAGAGAAAGTATATATCTCTTTCTATGTGGGTGTGCCTTACCCCCCCCCCCCCCCCCCCCCCCCCCCCCCCTCCTCTCTCTCTCTCTTTCTCTCTCGCTCTCTCGCTGTGTAGGTGTGTTTATATCGATGAACATACGTCTTGTCTCGTCTCTCGCTCGGTTGTGAACACAACCCGACTCGGATCATGGCGTATCTACTCCTAACGAGACACCACAAGGCCATGCATGCATGTCCCCATTTCACGACCGAACCATGTTCTCAGGGATGGATGCTCTGTTCAATTCTACTTAGCTTCCCCCTATCCCTTCAAGATTGATTTCCATCATCATCATCATCATCACATCCCCCCTTTTCCCATCCCATCCCATACCCCATCAAAAAAAAATTCTAGAATCAACCACCAAACTAACCCAAACCTCCCCTCCCCCCCTTCTCCCCCCCTTTCGACCAGGCCACTGCAAGAACCTAGCCAGAATCCCCAACCTCTGGTGCGTCTCCAGCGTCGACACCCCCAAGAAGGCGCAGCTCCTCTCCAAGCACCGCGCCGAGATCCCCGACTCCGATTCCGGGATCGAGCCCCTCGGCATCCACGTCCAGGTCAACACCTCCGGCGAGGATTCCAAGTCGGGCTGCCTCCCCGGCCCCGACACCGTCTCCCTGTGCCGCACCGTCGAGGAGCTGCCCGGCCTGCGCCTTCTGGGCCTCATGACCATCGGCGCGATCGCGCGGAGCGTGGCTACCACGCCGGAGAACGAGAATGAGGATTTCTTGTTGCTGCGCGAGCAGCGGGATCTGGTGGAGAGGGAACTCTTTGGTGGGGAGAAGGACAAGGACAAGGACGGGGATGGGGAGCAGCAGCAGGTGGGAGAGAAAGGGGAGGGAGAGAGGAGAAGAAGAAGACTCGAGCTGAGCATGGGGATGAGTGAGGACTTCGAGGGCGCGGTGGCGCTGGGGAGCGATGAGGTCAGGGTCGGGAGTACCATCTTTGGGAGTCGGCCGGCGAAGAGCGAGGCCAAGATCGTGGAGTGAGTTAGTTGAGTTGAGCGAGTGAAGAAGAAGAGATAAGATACTGACTGAGTTGAGTTGGACTGAAATCTGCTAAGTAAATTATGGTTTTTCCAAGAAAGGGAGGGAAGCAGCAGTCAACACTATGCATATCTCTCGCACGCAACCCAAGCAGACAGACACAAATAAACAAAACAAACAACAGTCTCATCATGAGCCTCTTGAATCAAGAAATAGGAATAAAAATTTCCATCATCATCATCATCATCATGCATGCATGCATGCACTGTAAGAACAACACGTTGGTATCATTTCGATAAATATCCGAGCCCCCAATCGGCTTTCGGTTTCCCAATCCCTCCCGCGGTCGTAAAGTATGGCCTGTAGGTTAAGCAAGCAAGCATTGCTGCCACTCTGGTAAGTAGACTACTTCGTAGGTTATGCGTACAGTACGAGAAGCATACCTAGACTACCTAGGTAGTATCTATCGTCCACTTTCCCCCCTACCCAACCCAAAAAATAAATATACAAGATACCTCTTAAAAGGTATCGACATAACGTCTGGATCCAGAACCCCCAAGGCTGTGTGTATCTATCTATCTATCCATCCAGTCTATGTATACTGCACGAAAAAACCAATCAATCCCCTCTTTCTTTCTTTCTTTCCATCAACTCTGCTTTTACTCTTACTCTTACTCTTTACTCCTGCGCGACAACAGGCACGACGACCTTCTCCCACAGCTCCCTCTTCCTCGGCGACACCCCCTCGGCCGTCCACTCTCGCTCGACGCCGGCGAAGTGGTCCCACCAGATGCCGTGGGTGGACTCGACGATGTCGTCGCGGTCGTACTGGCGGCTCTTCCAGGGCTTGTTGAGGATGTAGTGAAGAATTCTCACGTCGTCGTCGCGCCAGAGGCTCGGGTGGCAGCCCCGCAGGGTCTTGAGCGCGTTGTACGCGTACGAGATGGGCCGCCAGCGGTCCCGGTACACGATGGCCAGCAGGTCCTGGTCGAAGAACAGCATGGTCGGCACGTCCGGGTGCGTGTCCATGGCGTGCATGAGCGCGTCGTACTGCGCCATCGAGGGCCGCAGGATCACCGTCCCGCTGTTCAGCAGGTGGTGGTTGTTGGGGCTCGCGGGCGTGATCGGCGCCGGCTCGCCCGTCTGCTGGTTCGCCGCCGTGAAGGCGCAGTTCTCTGGGACCCTGAAGAAAGGGGGAGGGATGTGTTAGCTCCCATGGTTGATTGACTGATTGATTTTGTCTCCTCCTTGGCCCACCTCTGCGCGAACGCTCGTTCGCGTCTCGCGAAGCTTTGGGCGTTTTTTTTAAGTGGTAGATAGGTAGATGAATGACGACTTACCAATCCTTGCTGTAATGCTTCAGCTTCCGCGGGTTGCAGGTACAAGCATGCGTGCTCGCGATCCAACCATCCGGGATCTCGATATCCATCATGTCGTCGATGTTCTTCAGGATGACCTGATCGCTATCGAGGAGGACAACTCGCTACTCGCGCGCATCAGCAGAAGTTCAATTTTCTTCTTCTTTTTTTTTGTTCCTTTCCAACAAACATCATCATCACCCCTTCGTCTTTTTTCTCCCTCCTCTATCATCCTCTCAAAACCCAATCCACAGTTAGAGCATAATTGTATATAATCTTTGTCGCGACTGTGACATATCGCTCCACCTCACCGAATCAAGACCTACATACCTCGTACTCGACGAACCGCCACGGCGCCAGCTTCTCCCAGGTGCCCTTGTTCACCTTGCCGTCGCGGGGCGCGGGCTCGATCTTGTCGACGACGATGGTGGGGATGCCGGCG